CACCCCTGCTCACTCCATCCCCTCTTCCTCCGTCACTTGCTCTCTCCCACCTTCGCTCACTTGCTCATTTTCATCAGGCTGGGGCAGGGAGTTGGGGTGTGGGAAGGGATAAGAGCTCTGGCTGGGGGGTGGCAGGCTCTGGGGAGGGGCCATGGCTGAGGGATTTGGGATGCTGGAGGGGACTCTGACCTGGGGCCAAGGGCTTTGGAGTGTGGGAGGGGGCTCAGGGCTGGGGCAGGGATGTGGGAGGGTCTACAGGCTCTGGGCTGGAGGCGCCAGCTTGAGTGGGCCAGAAATGCAGGGTTCAGGGTGTGGGAGGGGGTTCCGGGCTGGGGTAGGCAGTTGGGGTGTGAGAGGGGGTGAGGACTCCGGTGGGGGGGGTGATCTTTGGGATGGGGTCAGGAATGAAGAGTTTGGGGTACAGGAGGGGGCTCTGGGCTGGTGCAGAGGGGTTGGGTGCAAAAGAGGTTGCAGGCTCTGGGAGGGAGTTTGGCTGTGGGCGGGGGTTTGGAGTGTGGGCTCTGGGCAACTCTGACCTCAGGCAGCTCCCAGGAAGTGGTGACATGTATCTCCAGCTCCGAGGCAGAGGGGCAGCCAGGAGGCTCTGTGCCCTGCTTCTGCCCACAGGCGCCACCCCCACAACTCCAATTGGCCGTGGTTCCTGCACAAAGACCCCATGGCTGCCCCTCTACCTAGGAATCAGAGGGAAATGCCAGTCACTTCCCGGGAGCCGTGTGGAGCCAGTCCTGCTGTGCCACCAACTGGACTTTTAACGGCCTGGTCAGTGGTGCTGATTGGAGCTGCCAAGGTCCCTTTTTGATCAGATTTTCCAGTCGAAAAGTTGACACCTGGCATCCCCACACTGGAAAGCTGCTTCTGCTGGTGGGGGGGCTGAAGTGCTCATGCGGATGGTATCTGGAGGTATCGGGCCTATGTTATTTAAAGACAGGTGGAATCCTTCATGTGGTAGCACACTGAGTAGCGTCACTTACTAAATGGGTACAAAAGGTCTCGTGTGAGCTCATCTGAGTATTGTCCTCCTCTCACTGACTGATGCCTAAAAGAGGAGAAATATAGGGGGAGCAAACCTGTCCCAACATGACTCCTATTAGTGTGCAATAGGCAGTCCCTTCCATTCAGGAAGGACAAGCAGCCATGTCATGTTTGTCTGTCCATAAGTAGGTGAAGTGGAGCTGGAGGAACACTGAACCTTCCTTCTCTCCTCCTAACCCACATTGAACCTGCCAAGAGTCAGGCAAATCATTTTTAAGCACTTTGGGATCCTCTGGGGTAAGAGGCAGTATGCATAAATGTAAGATCCCCCTTAGCATTTAAAATGAGTCAGGCTTGCAGACATTTAGGGTTTCTTCAGCTGTCTGATGAAACCCATTTTGCAGCCCCTCTTTTATTCTCTCTTCTCTTTACTCATTAAATAATATATGAACAAGCATCGCACTATACTATTACTACGGATCCTTTCTGTGTATAGAGCTTCACATTTTTAAATATTCTGCTGCCAGTCTAATTATACATTATACATCATTGCCACTGCACCACATCGCAAAAACATTGAGTAACACTTTCAAAAAGTAAAAATAAAATGGTGTCTGTGCCATGGGATGAAAGTTGCTGCACTTTCTTAACACTAGAACACAATACTTCTGCATGCAACTAGAAGGAAGCTGTTTGATTTACTGGGGTGCTAACTCACTGAAGTTGATGTTATCAGCAGTACATCTTTACTTAAAAGCCCGCAGGAAAGAAGATCATGGTAGGGTTGAGGTTTACACAACTGGTACAACAACTCATTATTTAGGCTAGAAATTAAACATCTCCCAGATTCTTTTCAACGTCATCTATAGAAGTGTAGGAATTTCCTTTACTGTCTGATGCAAATTTCACTACTGAAAATATACAGAAAAATATATTAGCTTGCTAGTGTAAACAGATCCTACTGCAGAGACTAGGGTTACAATCTGTCAGAAACAGAGAAAAACAGATGAGAAAGCTCTGAAGAAAAAACAGTGTTTATGGCAAGCATACTCCTATCTGCAAAAAGAAACGGAGAACTTGTGGCATCTTAGAGACTAACAAATTTATTTAAATTTAAATAAGGTGCCACAAGTACTCTGTTTCTTTTTGCGGATACAGACTAACACAGCTGCTACTCTGAAACCTGTCATACTCCTATCTATCTTCAGTCTCCACTTGCAGATATATGGACTAAACCCTATAACCTGTATTTGTGTACAGGGAAAAGAGGAGGTGTTAGAAACTCCTGACTTGTGGACTATACAATATTGCTGTGCTTTTGAGGTTTGTGTTGTATTTAGTGGTTCCTCAGAGTTTGACCGTTGAAGAAGTATATGTGATTTGGCAGTCCAACTGCTGAAAACGAATGATACTTTACAGATTCTGGCTTTTTTTGTTTGTTTGTTTGTTTGAGTTGCTTCTAGGTTTAAGGGTTACATGGCTATTCACTAGGAAATCCTGCACTAGCTCAGCTCAAATAAAACAGAATCAAAGAAAGAAACCCAGACTTTACCATCTGAGTATTTCTTATAAGTTTGGTTAGTACAGTAGATTCCTGTTTTAACTGTGTGCTTTTATTTTGTGACAATTCTTTCAGTTTTTCTAGTCTCTGATTTAAATTTCCCTCTGTCCATTTTGTTTTCTGGTACAATAGATACTCTGTTAAGTTACACGTTCTGACTCCCTTAACTGAATGTGACATCTGTGCTACATTTAATCATCAGATTGTGTGCTCACACCCTTGACAGTAGATGGAAATGTTGTTCTTGCTCTGAAAACAAAAGCAGAGCTTAAGTGTAGGTGAATGTAAGAGGACTGGTATTTAGATAATGAACAATTAAATAGGAGTATTAACACTAATCTTACATATCTAGCAAGAATTATGTACTGGCTGTGAAAACAAGCTGTCATAACAAAGGAGAAAAATCCCCAGTTTGGTTCATTACATACTATCTACCAAAACTCACCTTACAACTTAAAGAGGATATGAAATTCTTCTACATGCCTTGTCCTTTAAGCACTTCTGAGTAGTATTGCTGTGCGTTATCAGACAGTTGCTGTGTTCCATCCCAGAGGTGGCTGCATTATAGCCCAGACTCAAGAAAGACTTAAACATGTGCTTAGTTTTATCCAGGCTTGACTTTAAGCATGCACATAACTTATAATGACGTAAACAGAAGTTAAATACGTGCTTAATTGCATTCCAGAATAGGATTGCTTTCCTGAACCAGGGCCTTGTTCACGCACTTGTCAGTTATTTTCATATTTTAATATAGCTAGAGCATGTAGTGAGAGTAATATCTAAGGTTGCTGGAATATTTCTGTACTAGCCCCCTATTTTCAGTTGCTTATGTTTCAAATCTTTTATCTATATCGGGGTGGGCAAACTTTTTGGCCCGAGGGCCACATATTGGTATGGAAACTGTATGGCAGGTCATGAATGCTCATGAAATGGGGATTGGGTTCTGGGGTGGGGTTTGGGATGAGGAGTTGGGGGTTCAGGAGGGTGCTCCGGCCTAGGACTGAGGGGTTCAGAGGGTGGGAGGGGGATCAGGGCTGGGGCACAGAAAGGGGTTAGAGGGGCAGGTTCCAGGCAGCGCTTACCTCAAGCAGCTCCCAGGAACAGTGGCATATCCCCCCGTTGGCTCTAACTGGGAGGTGCAGCCAGGTGGCTCTGCGCACTCCCTGTCCACAGGTGCCACCCCTGCAGCTCCCATTGGCTGAGGTTCCCGGCCAATAGGAGCTGCGGGGGCAGCACTTGGGGGGGGGCAGCATGCAGAGCCTCCTGGTTGCCCCTACGAGTAGGAGCTGCAGGGTGGAAATGCCACTGCTTCCGAGAGCCATATGGAGTGGGCAAGACCCTGACGCTGCTCCCCAGCTGGAGCACCAGAACGGGGCAAGCCCCGGACCCTACTTCCTGGCAGAAGCTCAAGGGCCGGATTAAAACGTCTGGATGGCCCCCGGGCCGTAGTTTGCCCACCCCTGATCTATATGAATGTAAATTTTCCAGACTTGGTAACTGCCTTGTTAAATATTTCTGGATAGTTTCAGGAAAAAAAAAGTTAATATGTCATTGAATATAAAGAGAGAGGGGAAAAAATGTTTCACAATATATAAAAAAAAATCTTTTAATCTGTCTTTGAACAGCTGTAGTGTCCAAGGAAGACATTTAGCAGGAAAATAGTCTTCACTGAGGAGAAGTATCTTTTGGCATGCTGATGAAAATCAGGTTTGATTTGGCAAAGTTATGAAACTTTGAAGAGCACATTCTGAGTGTGCAGTGGGGTGGTTGTTTTAATTTTTTAGCAATGGTCCAAAGAATGATAGGCTGTGAGAGACATGGCAGTTGAAGCCAACTTGGGAACCTTCTAATCACGTACTTAGCATTTGTGTTTATATGGCAGCATAAACCCAGGGTAAATGTAGCCCATCATTTGTGAAGTGCTTTAAGATCCTTGGGAATGAAAGGTGCTATGCAATATTATCTTACATTTACCGGCTGAAAGCCTGCTGGTTTTAATAGACACAGGGAGATAAGCAGTACTATGCTGCACTGCTTTGTGGTTTTGCCTCGGAAAACAATAGATTGCAGAAAAAAAGAGTCTGAGATAGCTTCTGGTCCTGAACTTCTGCCTCCAATCTGGCAAACCTCCCATGTTTACAGGATCTAGTAGCACAAGTCCATTCAGACACATTGTTTAGAGTAGAACATTAATCAGATTTAATATACACATTTAAAACATTTATTGCTTTCTGGGCTAAGTATTCACAACCAAAAATGGCAGTTCAGACACACATATCCCATTAACGTTGGAAATTGAGTACTTAATGCACCAATTACATTTCCAGAAGTTTACGCCTTTAATGCAATCTTTAAACTCTCCATTGATATTTGTCTGGAGAGAGCTATTTACCAAGACAATTCAGAGTTATTTCATTGTTTAAGGAATATAGATGTTTGTACTTACTATGTGAGAACTATAGCCACAGCATCATTTAGGACACTCTCTCCAAAAAGGAGGGTATACAGATCTGTATCCACATGCAGCTCGTGGAAAATAGCCAGAACTGTCACTAGAAGGAAACATACAGAGCAAAGTAAGCTTGTTATTCTCATAATTTTAGAATAGCTAATGAGCTAAATGGAAGGGAACGAGTTTTGATAAGCATGTTTTAACATCAAAACAGTATAACATGACAGTTTGCCCATTAATTGAATGAAATACATTAGAAAAGGGATACATTTAAGTACACCAGTTCCCTAAATCCAGCAATAACTTTAAGAGTCATGCTTTACATGAACTAGAAATGACCACTCCCTCCCTGCCACATTTCAGTCACACACAAACTAAAACTATACCTTTGATTACCCCTAATATCAGGGAAATAGTCTTGTCACTTAAACACAGAACTGGAGGTAAGGAGACTCAGGGATGATCCCTGGCTCTCCCATGGACCTTCTGTGTGATCTGAACCCCAATTTACCTATCCATGAACAAGACATTGTTAATACTTACCCATCTCCCAAATAGATTGTGAGGCTTAATTCTTTGATGTTTATAAAGAACTTTAGTGACATTAATTTTAACATTTTTTTCCTAAAAACTTGTATTTATATTTTGAGATTACTGATGAAATAACTCATTCAATTTGGGTCAGAAGGAAACTGATGTTGGGCAAGTCACTTTGTGTTTCTGTTTCCCTATCTGTAAACAGAGCATAATAATGCTGACCCATCTTTGTAAGGTGCTTTGAGTTCTATGGGTGAAAAGTATTGTGCATATGCTCTGTATTACTATTCATATTCACTGTTTTCATGAAACAAACAGAGGTTTCCCTTTCAACCAAAAGTTTAATATAAAGCTTCCTAATGATTTGTATGTTTGGAAAATTATGCAGTATCTCACTGCATTTGCTTCACTGGTACATTCTGGTACATAATTGTGCAATTGACTAAATCTTCATAGCATAGGAATCCTGAAGTTTAGAAGTGCCCCCAGGGTTTCAGGTTTACATCTGACATTTCAGAAAAGGGAATTTTTACACTAAAGCTACCACTGAAGATTCACAAACTAACGTTTGCTTTGTGTGGGTGATTTTTTTCTCTTTCTAGAATTTTGGACCTTATGTACAGAATATTGGTAGAACTGAAACCACTGCTAAAAGGATTTTTCAACAGGTGTTAGCAACGGGAGTGTTTGGAATCTAATATTAGTTTAGAGTCCCAATTATGATGTTCAGTTCTCCTATGGGGTTTTATGTACCATGATCCAGATTAACACAGCAGCTTTGAAGTACTATTCTGGATGCCCTATTCCATAGAAAATGATTCCGTCTCCCATATCTGTGAAAACAAGCATTTGCCACTTCCAATATTAAGTTATCGGCAAGGTCTTAAATGCAGAAACTGGGAAATAGTAATAGGAAAAGTAAACAGTAACCAAGAATCCAACAGCAAAGTTTATATAGGTGTGGTAGGCCAAACCAAACAAAGATCCACACCAATGAAGTTATTTCCAAGAAAACAAACAATTTTTTTTCCTTTTCAAGTATCTTCCTCCCCCAGCCTTCTGGAAGTTATCAGAGCCCCTCTCTAGAGGGATCTGACTCCAAGTCTAGTCAAATAAAATGAAGACCATATCTATACTGGAGAGCTTACAGTGGCACAGCTGTACCAATGTAGCCGCTCTATGCTGACGGGAGAGAGGTCTCCCGTAGACATAATTAAACCACCCCTAATGTGTGGTGGGAGAGCATCTCCTGCCGACATAGCGCTGTGCACACCAGCACTTCTGTCGGTGTAACGTATGTCGCTCAGGGGTGTGTTTTTTCACAGCCCTGAGCGACATAAGTTATACAGACAAAAGTGCTAGTGTAGACATAACCTAAAATGCATGAAAATAATGAAGAAATCAACAGAATAATGAATCGCTTGCCCCTTCTTCTGGGAGAGACTTCTTAGCCTATCCAGCTCTTTCAATGTTTCTTCCACATCTGAAGAGAAGGCAGAGTTTAGATAGACCCTTTTTGCAACATGCCCTGTCCCTGAACCAAGGCTATTGATTGAATGCCATGGAACAGCATTTCCCAGCAATCCCTGAATAGTGAGGGGAGAGGAAAATTCCAACAGTGTTCAAGGGTTAGCCTATGCTAGAAAACTGGGTTAACCCAGCTACACTGCTCAGGGGTGCAAATAATTCACATCCCTGAGCAACGTAGTTAAGCCAATTTAAGTCCTCATGTAGACAGCACTAGAAAATTAGGTCAACTTTACAGCTATGTTGCTCACGGGTGTGAATAATTCACATCCCTGAGCAACGCAGTTAAGCTAACCTAAGTCCCTGTGTAGACAGCACTAGGTTGATGGAAGAATTCTCCTGTCAACCTAGGTACTGTCTTTTGGGGAGGTGGATAATTAGGCCAACAGGAGAACCCTTGCCACAGGCATAGGACGTGTCTACACTGAAGTGGTGCAGCTGCAGTGTTGGAGCTGTGCTGCTGTAGCATTTTAAGTGACAAGCCCTTAGTGACCTGGATGGATTTCTTTCCTAAATCACAAACTGCCACACTGACTCCACCGCTTCTCCCTCAAAGTTTATTAAACTCCAGATCCAATACCGATAGGGCTTCTTTGGAATCAACAACAGAGGAGAGACCCTGTAATGATTGGCTGTGAGACTGCAAAAAGAGAGCCTACATGAGATAGAAAACCAGAGAGGAAATGAGCACTGAATGTCTGTTCAGTTCCTTCATTGGGTATCAGTGGGTTTCTAGAAAGATTCCCTTATTCTGGGCATGAAATCAAAGATCTGTAGTAGTTGATGCTGAGGGCTGCATGATGAGGTGTGGATTTTAACCCATGTGCACCTGTATTTCTAGTTGATCCTGAGTTCCACATAGGAATGTTGTTCTAAAGCAAAGTTCCCATACACCACTTTGGCCTCCCCTAATAAAGCAACTTATAAATGAGGAGTGGAAACAAAGGAAAGGAAAGGAATCTTACTGGGAACTAATGAAAATGCTGCTGCATTGGAAGGTATATGATAGTTTTTGGATGGGGGAGTGTGTTCTCTCTTGCTGTCCCGTTTCCACTTAGCAAGCAAGAAGCCACCATCTATACTTGGTATTGAACATTCAGGGCTAGGCTCGGTTTTGCCATTTTCAAGTGCCCCCTCTCTCCCGTTTCCCCCGGACTTGACCATACACTAGAAAAGTCTGGAATTTCCTTAGGGAAGAGTCTCACAGGCCGGGCTTACAGTGACATTGTCGTTACAATCTTTCACCATTGCAGATTGCCTGCCAACATTATTAACCACTATGCCATCTAACCTTCCGCTTAGTAAAACTGCCAACGGCTGTTGTTTCCACCTGGGGGAGGGGCACCAGCACTAGCTCAGTGGTGAGACATTTTAACAAAGAGCTCCAAGCAGACAAGACTACTGTGTAAAAAACAATGATCAAAGGGATGGGTGACTGTTGAAATATTCTGCTACGTAATATATTGGTGTATTAGGATGTATAAACAGGGGAATCTCAAGCTGGCACTTCTGACTAGTCCTGGTGTCCGCTATTCAGGAAGGATGTTGATAAATTGTAGGGGGTTCAGAGAATAGCCACAAGAATGATTAAAGGATTCGAAAACATGCCATACAGCCATAGACACAAGAAGCATAATCTATTTATTTTAACAAAGAGAAGGTTAAAGAGTTATTTAATCACAATCTATCAGTATGTACATGGTGAATAAGTATTTAATAATGAGCTCTGCAATCTGGCAGAGAAAGGTACAGCATGATCCAATGGCTGGAAGTTGAAGCTAGATAAATTCTTCCTGGAAATAAGACATACATCTTTAACAGTGAGGGTAATTAACCACTAGAACAACTTACCAAGGGTTGTGGTGGATTCTCCATCACTGGGAATTTTTAAATCAAGACTGTATGTTTTTCTAAAAGATCTGCTCTAAGAAATATTCTGGAGAAGTTCTAGGGCCTGTGTTATACCAGAAAGCACACTAGATGCCCACAGTCGTCCCTTTTGGCCTTTGAATTTATGAAATAACTGTGCCCTCTGTTGCACAGGAAGGCCCCCCGAGAACAACTAATGTTGGTCCTGGAGGATTCTGCCACCAGCTTTAAAGGACAAGTAAACCCAGATAAAACCAATGTAAGGAATCAAGAATCCAGGCCTGCACAGAGAAATCTCTCTAAGCACTTCTTCAAACAAAATGAATAAAAGGATAGAGAAGAATCAAAACAAACATTACAGCCATTAAATCACCACACCAACAAGCTCTCTCAAAATATGAGAAGAAGAAAAGATAAGACTTGAAAGTGTAGATGACCAGATTGTTGTCTAGCCTAGGATAGATTCTAGCAGTCTCTCAGCTAGGAGTTCTGGAGTTGTAAACTACAATGGCTTGGATTTCATATTGACCTGGGTTAAGGACTCAAAGATATTCTATATGATTATTTTGAATCAGAATTTGCAATAATTTGAACTGGAGTTAATGTGAGATTTATATATCTATTTTTATAGCGTGTACTTCTTTTTCCCTCATTCTACAGAGTCCTTCTGCTGGATGGCAGGACACGGGATTAATTGTGAGCTGCTTACAGAAGACCATATAAAGAAAAGGAGTACTTGTGGCACCTTAGAGACTAACCAATTTATGTGAGCATAAGCTTTCGTGAGCTACAGCTCACTTCATCGGATGCATACTGTGGAAAGTGTAGAATCCACAGTATGCGTCCGATGAAGTGAGCTGTAGCTCACGAAAGCTTATGCACAAATAAATTGGTTAGTCTCTAAGGTGCCACAAGTACTCCTTTTCTTTTTGCGAATACAGATTAACACGGCTGTTACTCAGAAAACCATATGTGCATGTAAGTAGTAATCAGGATGATGCATGGACCTACTAAAATAACTTATCAGTACTTGGATACCTGGGAGATGATATTTTAAATTATACTACAGTGAGAATGCTTTTTAGAATGTAGAATGATCTCCTTTAAAAAGTCATTTGCCAACAGTTATCACAGTAAATCTGTGACGCCATAGTTTTATCTTATACT